ATAATTTAGTGGTCAGACGATAGAAAGAGGAGATTTGCTGATAAGTTTCGATGTAGTGTTTATGTACATTAATATTCAGGTAGACGAAGCAAGAAAGGCCGTAGAGCTTACATTAGAGCAATATTCCGAGGTCACAACTACATGACCTAATTAGACTTTCAGGTCTTCAATGAAGCACTCATAGTTTCTGAGACATTAGTTCGTTATATGAGCGATTACTTTGCTGTTTGACAACACGGCTAAGATAGTTTGGGTGAATTCATTGAGCTAATTAATAGGATAAATGCCAACATTTAGCTTACCCTTGAGTTTTAAAAGGAAAGTAGACTGCCTTTTTTGAATGTATTCGAGAACAAAGTTTATAAGTAAGGTAGATGCTTGTATAGGAAACTCACACACGCTGGTTTCCTTATTACTTTTTTCCCCAACCATATATTTAGAGTAAAAATAGGAGTTATAAAGTATATGCTAAAAAAGGAGTCTGAGTCTAGCAGACGTAAACTACAGGGACCAGGAGATCTGTAGATTAGGGCATATATTGTTTCAGAACGAGTACGAATTTGAATTAATAAGCACTTATTTATCAATTATCATTAACAAAATGAGAGCAGTTTGCTGTCCTTCCCGCTACATCTCATAAAAGAGACAAAAGGAGTCAATCCCTTAGCAAACTTTTTGCCGAAACGGTTGTGCTATCATTCATTTTTGTACTGGCTTATCTACCTACTTACTCTATTATAATCAATTCCTATCACATATTTTGACTTGTCTATTATCAACTCTTCAAGAGGTGTGTCCTTTTTGGCGAGGTTAGTGTGGCATCATCACACCTATTTTTATCTTCTTTCTCTCTAATTACTGGTCAGACTTATGCCTCCTATCCCGACCTCCCTCATGGAACCGTAGATCTATTTCTTATATTTCTTGTTGATTGACACACTCGGTTCCAGTCCAGGTATACGTTTTACCCCAGACACTGTTTCTCAATGTATGTAGAAAAACTAGGTTTCAAAGAATCCATTAATAGATTTTTGTTGGAGTACCTTTCATTACGTTTAAAGATGTGAGTACAAGGGATTCGTAGGCCGGCCTCATTGGATACTGTAGGGATATTGCCTTGGAGCTATGATTGGCGCATCGCCCTGCGACCCCGATGAATCCTTGCTGAGATTTCCTCTGTCATGTGACAAACATCATTAGAGCAGGGCACAGTGCTTAACGATAATTCGTGTTTTTGTGAAGTATCCTTAGACATGACGTCATTCTTTGACGATGTTCGTTACATTTTGGACGAAAGCTCAACATAAATTCATCGGGACTGCATGGCAGTGCGCCTAGTACCCATTCGCTCAAATCTATAATCACAGCTTAAAGGCAATCACCGTACACCTTCCGATAAGGCCAACTTACGAATCTCTTGCACTCGCCTCTTCAAACGAAATGAAAGTTAGTCCAACATTTTTTAAGCCTTTAGGAGTACGTACACTGACGCCTTATTGAGCCGGGCGCATAGGCTCTGATTCCCATGCTTGCAGATATCATATATTGTCTTCACAGATTATCTCCTTGGTTAAGCCTGTGCAATTTTATTAAACCGTGGGCGACTATATCTGATAACCTGTTGCATTTCGAGTGGATTTCGAGTACATTTTGGTAATAATGCAGAAGTTCCGTGACGGTTGTTATTATTCAGGCCGTCAAAGTTGTTATTATTTTATCTGGCCAAATTCACTCACTGAAGATTCCTTCGTTTGATTTCCCAAACTTCCCCATCTGCTTCCTCCTTGCGGTCACTTTTAATTAAGTTGAAGATAGAAGTTGTTTGATCTTGTTTTCGCAACTTGGTCATATTGGTAGAAAGACTTAGAGGAGCGCATCAAGTCCGGAGTCCATTGTATGAATGATCATTTCCAAAGTCTGAGCATAGACGTGGTACTTCCCCAGACGTTTTGCCGGCATCGTCAGTGAATTTCGCCATTCTTGGCACTATAGTACAGCTCGTCAAAGAGACAACTTCTAGAAAAGTACCACATCCACGGTCCGACTTTGGAAATGATCATGCATACAATGGACTCCGGACTAGGTGCTTTCCTATAAATCTTTCTACCAATATGATAAAGTTGCGAAAACGAGGTCAAACAAATTCTATACAACGAAAGGAGACTACGACCGCACAAAAGGCCACACCATCTTGGTCTTCATACCTTCAAGTTAAAATAGTTCCTTGATCTGAGTGTCTCCTTTTTGCTGATCCTTCCCTATACTTGTTTTCTCCTAGTTTGCTTAAGAATTAGGCAAATGTATCGCTAACTCTTCCTTTTTTTAATCCTATGTTGATTTAATTTTTTTACGAAGGTGTCAATAGCCCCTTTAGTCTTCAGTTTCCTTGTATTTTTACCTGATGAGGCCCTTCTTTCTGTGGCCTTATTGTGTCTAGTCTGTTAGCCTCGTCCCTGGATTTATGAATCTTTACTATCTATTTTCATGCAGAGCCCTTAATGTTCCTTGATTCGTAAATATTGCAATCCTGGTTGAGTAATGACGTTTTCATTTAAGGCTTACTACTCGGACTAATCCTGTCGAAGGTATTGAATAAACCTATGAGCGGTTTAAATTGCGGTCCATCAACTATTAGGAAGCCTTTTGAGAGGCAAGATTAACCGAAATTTAATATTTTTTTGATAACTGCTTATTCTTTTGGTACACACTACTATAAATAGTTACATCGCTTTAAATATGATATTAAACAACTTTTTTTATCACTAGAAATTAGATCAACTTCTGTTTTTGTTTTCATGGAAGTTGACACATAGACTTTATGCTCCTCTTGTGTTTTCCTATTTTTCATCTTTATCCTTTGAGTGTTGTGACATTCTTAGTAATTCCAGTTTGTATACACATTCTTACGATGTATCTTTTGATTTTTGCGCTGACATACACTTTGCGCAGACTTGTACGAAATTCGCATGTAAACAACTATTTGTGGTTAAAATAGTCTTGCATTTTTTTTCTTCGTTTGATTTGAAAATAAGTAGAAATTTGCCTTCTATTTTGATTTTCTCTTTTAGCCATCCCCATTTCGTCAGGTATATCGCGGTACTGGTGCAAAGCCCTCATTCTTGTTCTTTAGCTTTCTTCATCTGATGCAACTCAGTCATATTAGCCAATTGCTTGATTAAACATTTAATCTTATTTTTAGCTTTCTGTTTTCTATATCATGTGATACCTAGGCATTCCGCCTTTACCTCATGTCTGCTTTCTGCCTTCATGTATTCCTCTATATCTCTCCATATATTTCCATATCGACATGCATACTTCCACTGCGATAATTATATATACTTGAAAACAGATAGATAAGTTTTCAGCTAGACGAATAGACAACTTGATCTTTATACTAATCAGATGAAGATTGCATTTGCATACTCGTTTTATTTCTACCATTCTCCGTTATAATGTGTTTTTGTCTTCCATTTAGCTATACACAAAATACCTTATCCAATACCCCTCATTTTTAACTGAATCTTTTAAAGTTAGTATTTGATTGCCTTTTTCTGAGTTGCTACCACTCTTAAACATCTTAGTAAAAATTAATTGATATCTATCAATTTCCCTATAATCCATTCCATTTTGTCTCGCATTCACTTAGTTTGTTCTCCACTTTTTCATCCTCAATTGTTTCATATTGTAAATAGGGTCTACACAATTCGGCATCCTCTGTATATTTATCAATAGCTACTGAGCCTGTCTTTCTTTGCATATCTTGCTCACTTGGTATTAACCTTTATTTCTGAAATGACTTCATCACCTCTCATCTCCTCTACTTTACCTTTTATACCTTTATATTATTTGCTGACTCGATATTCTGGCTTGGATGGCGTTCCTCTCCTGTCGACGTTTCTGATGACAACTACCTCTCGCTTGACCTTTGTATATCGGACGAGTGCCGCTTGCTATGGCACGGTGCTGACGTCTCAAATTTATTCTATTGCCTCTGCTATCTCAACGACTGCCGCACTGGCTAACTACATTCACCATGTATTCGTCGTTTGTGCAAAACCATTCTTCCATTCTACCGTCTATTTCCTCCCTTCACACGAATGGTTATCTTGATGATTTCGGATACTTCCCACTTTCTGTTCATGCTGGCCATCACATCGACTCCGTATCATCTTCCTCTTTACTGTCGACGGCGTGCGACACCAACGCTTCTGATCATAATCCATTTGATATTTCGGCCCCTATGGTATTATCGACTATTACTCCACATTGCCTAGCTCTTGCTGAGATGACACGCACTCTCGAACAAGAACGCATGGCCATGCAGAATGAGTTAGATCGCCGACTAGAGGATTCGACCCGCTTGCACACTGTTCAGCTTGCTGATGTGGAAGCTCAGCGTACCTTGCTTGAAAATCGCTTGGCTGATGTCCAAATATGTCAACAGCAATTATCTGATGAGTTGAATGTTGTCTTAAACAAGCTGCATTCCAAGGTCAGTCATGAAAGCGATTCATATTCAATTTATCACTTTATTTTATTATTCATTTCCTTTTAACCTTATTATTTCAGTTCTATTCCCCTTATTCCTCCTATATATACAATTTTCGATGTGGTCTGATCTCGTTTTAGCAACTTAGTCGTGTTATCAAGGCGAATCGGACGCATCTTTTCCTAAGTAATCTGCTATGGTAGTTATCATATTTCCAATGTTCTATGAACTTGGTACATTAGCAGACGTTAGTCCAGTATCGCAGTTGGCAACGTCAGTGATTCTTGCAATTCTCAGTAAAAAGCTACAAATCGTCAGAGACAAGTGGAGTCAATCCCTTGATCAACTTCCTGGCGAAACCATTGTATTGTCACTTTTATGTCTCCTCCCTATGTTGCCTCCCTATTCTTTTATCACACTCTCGCTCTACCACAGCTGACTTTTTAATATTCCACTCTTCAAGAAGTGTGCTCTTCTG